TCAATACAAATTTGCTGCCTGGAACATGTGAAGGGTTTGGCTTCTCTTCCTGGCAACTCCTCGGCCTCATTCTCTCACCACAGTAGCAGCAGTAGCCCCAGCAGCAGACCAGTGGTGGGGCTGAGGGACACAGAAATCACAGCAGCAGCAGCAGGACCAGGGCCCACTGCTGACAGAGTGTCTGGCCTCAAATTACACTGTATCAGAGCTCAGGCATAAAATTAGCAGCAGTGTTCTATGTATGAGGAGCCAGAGAAAATTGCCAGATTCAGCAGAATTATGGGCAGAAGAAAGGGAGAGAAGGAGTTGGGGAGGGGAAGAGCTGGCCCACTGCAGCCCCCCTGGACAACCCTGGACCGCTGCCCCGAGGCAGAGGCAGCTGCCCAGTGGCTGAGTCAGGTCCCCAGGAGGCTTTTTGGCGTGGAGGGGGCCGGGGATGGGAAAGGAAGATCTTGAGAAACCCGGGAAGGTGAAATTGAGGGCTTATCCTACCCTACACACACACACACACACACACACTGAAAACTCGGCACAAGATTTAGATATTCCCGTATCTAGGCACTTTTCATGCATTTTTTCTCATTAAGTTTTACTATAACCCTATTTGGTAAGCCTGTTTCACAGATAAAAGGATGAAAAAGGACATATTAGCTTGCCCAAGTTCATGTGCTATAGATATATTCATGTTTATGCTCAGTTTGTGCCCACTCAGATTCCAGCATTTCAATATAGCGTCTCTGCAGCCACTGTGAAGAGGATAGAGGTTCCTTAAATGGCTAAAAATGGAGTTACCATATGATCCAGCAACCCCACTCCTGGGCATGTATCCAGAAAAGATGAAAACTAACTCGAAAAGATACAATCACCCTAATGTTCATAGCAACAGTATTTACAGTAGCCAGACATGAAAGCAACCTAAATGTCCATTGACAAATGAATGGATAAAGATGTGAGATCACACACACACACGCACACACACACACGTGCGCACACACACACACACGCACGCATGCACACACACACACACGCACGCATGCACACACACACACACCCCCAATGGAGTATTGCATGCATGCTCAGTTGCTCAGTTGTGTGTGACTCTTTGCAACCCTATGGACTGGAGTCCCCCAGGCTCCTCTGTCCATGAGATTCTCCAAACAAGAATACTGGAGTGGGTTGCCATTTCCTTCTCCAGAGGATCTTCCTGACCCAGAGATCAAACCTATGTCTTCCTCATCTCATTCACCGGCAGGCGGATTCTTTACCACTGAGTCGCCTGGGGGAACACAATGGAATATTATTGCTCAGCAATAAAAATATGAAATAAAGCCATTTTCAGCAAGATGGATGGACCTAGAGATTATTATACTAAGTGAAGTAAGTTAGAGAAAGACAAATACCACGTGATATGGCTTATGTGTGGAATCTAAAATAATGATCCAATGACCCTATTTACAAAATAGAAACAGACTCACAGACACAGCAAACAAATTTATGGTTACCAAAGGGGAAAGGGGTGTAAATTAGGAGACTGGGGTTAACAGATACACGTGCATGTGTGCCAAATCACTTCAGTCATGTCTGACTCTTTGAGACCCTGTGGACTATATGCTGCCAGGCTCCTCTGCCTGAGGATTCTCCAGGAAAGAATACTAGAGTGGGTTTCCTTGCCCTCTTCCAGGGGATCTTCCTGACTCAGGGATCAAGAGTCTTATGTCTCCTGTATTGGCAGGTGGGTTCTTTACCACTAGTACCACCTAGGAAGCCCAACAGATACACACTACTGTATATAAATCAGATAAAGAACAAGGACCTACTGTATAACACAGGAAACTGTATTCAAAACCTTTCAATAATCTATAGTGGAAAAAGCCTGAAAAAGAATACATATATATGGATACTTACATATATATATATAATATATCTGGATCACTTTCTATACCAGAAACTAGCACAATATTGCAAATAAATTAGGCTTCAATAATAAATAAATATATCCTCTCAAACTTACAATGTCACTACTGTACACATTGCATGTTCTTAATATATACAATATAAATACCCTCACACTTGTCTACATAGACTCATATATGTTTATAAACATGTTTATATATATGTTTTCAACTAAGCGCATATGATGATACACTCGTATGCCAGTGCTGGATCATACTTTGTTGCTAAAATCATTGTTACTTCTATTTTTCCTGACCAGCTGCAAGCCAGTGTCCTCCTGGTCCCAAGCCCCAGCTAGGTGCTTACACCTCTTGGAACTCACAGACATCTGCCACCCGCGACCCTGTCCTGTTACTGCTCATTTAGTTTCATCCTCCAGATGGGGAACCCTGAGTCACTATGACTGGAACAGAGTCATCATATTATTTCTAGTTCTTTGGGTGTGAATTCTTTGGTATGCTGAGTCTATAAGCTATTCTTCATAGTGGAGAGGTTCTTTCCACAATTTGCAACTTTGGTCTATGAGTCTATAGGGAAGTTTTGTTATTGCCTTGCAAGCTCATGGCATCCAAAGTATTTTGATGTTAATTCTTCATCTTGGGATGTCTATACTGCATGGGTAGCTTAGATCTGGGTCTGACACCAGCACATATTTTAGGCTTGAGGCTCTGATCTTGTATATGTATCTCTCATTCTTCCCATGTCCTGGGAGAGTATCTCAACTCCGGACTTAAGAGCCTGAACCTAGTCCCAGACTGGTGGCTAGTCCCTGATGCCTCAGACAGCAAAGAATCTGCCTGCAGTGCAGGAGAAATGGGTTTGATGCCTGAGTCGGGAAAAACTCCTGGAGAAGGTAATGGCAACCCACTCCAATAATTTTGCTTGGAGAATTTCATGGACAGAGGAGCCTGGCAGGCTACAGTCCATGGGGTCACAAAGAGTCGGACAGGACTGAGTGACTAACACTTGCACACTTTCAGTCCCTGATTACGCATTAAGATCTTACCCCTACGAGCCCATTTCTACCCTTGGTTTTCCCACTGGGTGTGGGGTGCCTCTCACTGGTATAGGTTCCCTTCTTTTAGAATCTGAAGATTACACTTTCTTGCTTTTGAGCTGGACTCTATATGTTTGAAATACTTAAAGATATGTTATCTTGCAGCTTTTATATGCCTGGAGTAGGATGGGAAATTTTGACTTGGGTTCACCCTGCCATGTTTATTTCCGTATTCCAAATGTCCTGTTTGATAAATAGCTGATTGGGTATATCCCTCCATTTTTCTCCTTTCTTGTCTTCTCTTCTGTCCTTCAATGTTGTTCCTGCTTCCAAAGGAGTCCATGAAGAATCTTGGTTTCTGAAGAGGCCTTGGCCCTGGCCAGGCTGCAGGAGGAGAGGCAGATCCTCATTGGGTCAGGGCTGTAGTGCCGGGCCCAGAGCATATCGCCTCCTGGGGATTTGGCCTCTGCCCCAAACTCTATTTAGGGCAGAAGGTCCCTTGGGATGGCTGGGTAGAGTGGGGACGAGGTTCACAGGAAGGGCTTGAGGCTGCCAGCTGCCCTTCATTTGTGAGCCAGACAGCTCTTGGGATCCTAAGAATGACTCATCCCCAGTCTCTGTGTCTGGGAAACAACAGAAGAGCTACAGTTGGGAGATCTTGGTTCCAGGCTCCACTGGGCTGGCTCTGTCCCTGCAGAGCCTCGTCCCAGCCCTGGGAGTCTTAATTCAGCTTGGGTTCGGGACAGAGCGGGCCACAGGGCCCGTTCTGTGATGCCAGAAGGCATGTCTTCTCCATCATCCATCTCCTCTTCCTGCTGCTTTCTACTTTGCATCTGTGATGCATGAGTGAATGTGAATGTGTGTGTGTGTGTGTGTGTGACAAGTAGGTGTGGCTCTCTTGGGAGCACTCCCTTCAGCATTCTATAGCCATACATGTTAGAGGGGCCACAAAATCATGTTCGTTCCCCGTATGTTGGGTGAGAACTTGCAACATGCTAGGCACTGCACTACCTGGGAAGACAGTTGTCAGACATAAAAATACAAACAAATATGGAGCTACAATAGTTCTCAATGCTCTAAAGCAAAAGTACAGGGATCTGAGAGAGAATAGCAGAGAGAGGGTGACATATTTAGAGTTCAGGTTCCTGGAAGGTCTCCCTGAAGAGGTGACTTCCAAGATGAGACCTAAAGGAGACAGGGAAAAGCATTCCAGCAGAAAAAGCCTGCATGAAGGCTAAGAGTGGAAGACATCTTGGATCATTCTAGAAATGGACTAGAGGCCAGTGTGGGAAGGAAACAGCCCAGGAGAGGGGCTGGGGAAGCCAGTAGGGTGTTCAGAACTTTGGAGGCAGACAGGACTAGAAGTTTGGACTTTCTCCTAAGTGCAGGGTGAAGCAGTTAAAGTTTAATCAGGGAAGAGTATGCTCAGATTTGTAATGTGATGCTCACTCTGGTTGGCAGCCCTGTAGGGAGATGTGGCTGTGCCAGGCCCAAGTAGGCTTGGGGATCTCGGCATGAGAGAAGTGCAGCCCAGAACTCCAGGAAAGGGGGAATCAGGAAGGGTAAACCAACCCTCACATTCCAACATGACACAAATGCCTGTGAGCACTAACTTTGTTGGGAGTACCAGGAAGGCTTCCTGGAGGAGGTGGCATCGGAGCGAGGACTTTGGGAAGGAAGGTGAGGTGGAGGCCTGCACTACCAGCCTAGGGAATAGGTTGGGTAAAGTCTCGACAGTGAGGGGGTGCAGGTTGGGTGTGATGAGTCAGTGGATGTGAAGTGACTCCCCAAGGATGTAAGCCCCCCGGTGGCTGAGTCAGCACTGAGGCCCAGTCTCTGATGAACAGGTTTCTGATGCCCTGCCAAGATCTGGCACCAAGAACTGACATTGAGAAAGTCCCTGATGCCCCCCCAAATCAGTGTACCCCACACACCCAGCGTCAGAGAGTGTGTACTTCCCCAGTTGTGGTACAGCTGCAAGGTGGGGAAGAGGAAGTATGGGCCACAGGCCAGCCCCAGAGGGCCTGGAGGAGGAGCCTCTTCTCGAGCTGAGAGAAGCTTGGCTGGGACCTCCCCAGAGGCAGTTCCTGGGGACTCCTGGGACCACAGCCGAGACACAGGTAGCTTGAGGGAAGTGAGAGGTGACCTGGGCCTGGTCCCGGCCGTGAGACCCTCCGCCACCCCTCCCCTGGACTAACAGCCATGGCCAGGGCGCAGCAGCTTCGGGCTGAGAGGTGAGTGCAGGGGCGCTGCCCACCCGGGGCCTCCTCGCTGTTCCCGGCAGGCCTTGCAGGGCAGAGGCCCACGTTCCTGCAGCCGCTTATCAATGTCAAAAGTTGAGAGGTTGGAGTTGAGTCAGACCCCCAAATACTCAGAAATACAGACTCTGAGAACTTTTTTAAGGAAACTCCTAGTCGTGGCTCACTTCCTTCAGGCACAGATGAAGAGACTGAGGCTCAGAGACGGGGAGTGACTTTCCCAGGGTCACGCAGGGGTGGGTGGTGGAGTCTGGATGGGAACTCAGGTGTCTGGGGCCCAGGCTGGGCCTCTGTACCCCACACTGTTCAGTAAGTTGCATCTTCTGTTCAGATGGAGGCACAGAATCTGGCTTTTTTCCAGGGCTTGGCTCAAATGTCAACTCCTCCGAGAAATCTTCCTTAACAGCCCCCTCTGAACACTTGCCCTGTTTCCTTCTTCTGTGTAGTCCCTACTTCTCTGGCATAATAGTCTATACACACCCATCTGTTTTCTTTGTCACTGGCTCTGCAGTTAGAAGGAAGTTCCATAGGGTATTTATCTCTTTTGATCATTGCTATATCCCAGGTCCATCTAGTCAAAGCTATGGTTTTTCCAGTAGTCATGTACAGATGTAAGAGTTGGACCGTAAAAAGTGCTGAGTACCAAAGCATTGATGCTTTTTCATTGTGGTGCTGAGAAGACTCTTGGGAGTCCCTTGGACAGCAAGGAGATCAAAACAGTCAATCCTAGAGGAAATCAACCCTGAATGTTCACTGGAAGGACTGATGCTAAAGCTGAGTCCACTACTTTGTTCATCTGATGTGAAGAGCCAACTGATTGGAAAAGCTCCTGATGCTGGGAAAGATTAAGGGCAGAAGAAGAAAGGAGTGGCAGAGGATGAGATGGTTCGATAGCATCACCAACTCAATGGACATGAACTTGAGCAAACTCTGGGAGATAGTGGAGGACAGGGAAGCCTGGTGTGCTGCCGTACCTGGGGTCGCAAAGAGTTGATATGACTTAGCAACTGAACAGCAAATATCCCAGGATTTGAACAAGGCCAGTACTAAGTGCTTAGTAAATGCTGCTGAGTGAGTGAGTGAATGAATGAATAACAGACTGATGGATGGATCTTTGAGCTGGAAAGTGTCTTTAGATCATTCTGGTTCAATCCTGTCATTGTATGGATGAGAAAACTGAGCTCCAAGGAGAATAAAATATTCACTCAGGGTGACATGGAGTGAGTGGCAAGGCTGGGGCTCCCAGCATAGCCTTGCCAGGGCCTCGCCTCATTTCTCAGGAGACATTCTCTGAGTTTCCTCAGTAGGCCGGCCTGTGCTCCGAGCTATGGGGGGATCTGAGGACATAGGGCTTGGCTCCTGCCTTTTTGGATCAGAGCCGCAGATGACATCAGAAAGAGTGTGTTAAAAGCATGGAAGTGGCTCAGAGGGTCACCGGGGATGGGTCAGGCTGGTCTGGCCAAAGTGGGCAGCAGAGGGCCCCCGGTGGACTCTGCGGCCAGAAGTGGGAGCTGGGATGGAATTCCTGAATGTCAAATATCAGAAGGAAGGTACGTGCGTGTGTGTGCGTGTGTGTGTGTGTGTGTGCGTGTGTGTGTGTGTGTGTGTGTGTGTTGCAGGAGGGGTATCAAATGCAAATACTTGGAGGGTGATTCAGGAATGCCCTTCCAGGGATTTTCCTAGCAGTTAAGTGATTAAGACTCTGCACTTCCACTGCAGGGGGTATGGGTTTGATCTCTGCTCAGAGAGCTAAGATCCCACACGCCACACAGTGCAGCCAAAAAAAGAAGAATGGTCTTCAAGAGCCACAGAGGTGGGTGCTGGGGGCTGGGGTGAGGTTCAGGAAGGCAGGAGCCAAGCCCCATGTCCTCAGGTCCCCCCACAGATTCCAGTTCCTCCAGCCCCCAAGTCCTCAGTGGAGACTGGGCCTGGCATGTTAACCTGCACCCAGGAAATCGCTGCTGTTTGAGGCTGGTGGCACCTCCTGTTTCTCAGGGCACGTGGGTCAGAGAGATGATGCCCAAAGCCGAACCCTCCTCCCCCAGTCCTGGTCTCCTGGCAGCTGTGCTTGCCCGTCTAGGGAGGAAAGGTCCCCTTCCCCCCTCTTTCATGGGGTTATAGAGCCGGGTCTGGAGTCTCTCAGTCTCCCCGCACCTGGAAGCCTCTTTGAAAGTGAGGTCTGAATGCCTGAGGCCGAAGTGGAGGATGTAGTGGGAGGGCAGCAGATTTCAGGTAGCAGGACTTTCTAAGTCCCGAGACACCTGAAAGTGGAAAGGACTGCTGTGAGGGCCTTGAGTGTACTTCCCACAAGCATGTTTTGAGCGCCTACTGTGTGTAGGAGGCAGGAATCCTGAACTAGCTGCTGCTCTAGGGTCTCTCCACCCATCACCCAGCACCTCCTGTCCAGGCCTCCCAAATAGATTTTTCATGAGCAGTATCAATCTATGGGCCCTAAGTGGGCTTCTGTTCAGAGGGGTTCTGGGTGAGGTCTTCAGGGGGCAACTCTTCTAGGGGGACTTGCTGCCCATTTTTTTGCACCCTTGCTTTTGCCCGGTGCAAAACCTTCTTGGTTCAGCTCCCTGGCCCTGCCCCGCAGGCAGCCAGGCTGTCCCCATGTGGCCCACAGTGGTGGTTTTGTTGCTAAGTCATGTCTGACTCTTTGCAACCCCAGGGGCTGGAGTCCGTCAGGCTCCTCTGTCCATGTGATGTCAGGCAAGAATACTGGATTAGGTTGCCATTTCCTCCTCCAGGGGATCTTCCCGACCCAGGGATCTAACCCACATCTCCCTTGCCTCCTTCAAGTCTCCTACACTGCAGGTGAATTCTTTACGGCTGAGCCACAGTGTCAACCCACAGTGGACTTGCTGTAAAACAGACACAGGGAGTGGGCTTGCATCTCCCTGAGCACCTACTATGTGCCATTGCTGTTCTGGGCACTGGGGATACAGCAGTGAGCAGGGTCCCTGCTCTAGTAGGGCTTCCTCAGCTGTGCTTGTTACAGATGTGACCGCCAAACCCTCCTGGGATGTAAATACCTCCATGGGCCCCATCTCAGAGCGGTGGAGGGGTCAGAGCTCAGACAGGAGTCTTCCCAAGTCTGCTGATCTTGGCAGTGTCAAAGCGGGAGTTCAGGTCTTCATCTTTCACCTGTGCCCTCCCCTCTGGGACACACAGGTCTCCCAACATAACCCCTTCCTCGCCCTACCACCCCAAGGCGGGCACAAGCGCCCTTCTTGAGCAGGCACTGCCGGTCTCCCTGGCCTGGTCCCTCGTAACTTGTCCCTTCTTGCACAGTTGAGGCCTCTGCACTCACTCTTTCTCTTGCCTGTTGTCCTGGGTCGACTCCTCTTTACCTGGTGCCTCTTCTTCTGGGAAGCCCTCCCTGATCACCCTCAGTCTGAGCACACCTTGCCCTCCTTGCAGGTACAGCATCCTTGCTTCTCTCTCTGATAAATGTCACCCCCATCTTAGAAGTGTTGGCTTGCCGAGCTATCTTGCCTGCTGCACTACTGATTCTTCGAGGGAGGATAGTAATGGCTGGGCTCCTGCTGCAGCTTGAAACATTGTGGGGTTTTCCTTCACAGCTTCTGTGATTGCTGAAATTATGTAATTATTTATCCAGCTCCTCCAATCAACCATGAAACCCAGGAAGGCAGAGGCCACATCCTAGAATTCTTAGGACAGTGTCTGAGCTACAATAGCTGCTGACAATATTATTACTGTTGTTATTATTTTAGATGGGAGACATGCTGTGAGGGGCTTGCATTTACCTGAGTTTAACACAACCAGCTGTTGGGAGCTTCAAACCAGGGTCAGTGTAGCAGTGACTGGGAACAAAATTCTGGAGCCAAATCCCAGTTTTTTTACTTTTGTGGGACAAGTTCGTTAACCTCTGTGCCTCAGTCTGGAAAAAGGGTACACTGTCTTAGGAGGGCCCCAGGGCTCTGTGCACTTAGGACATCCTCAGCTATAGTTACCATTACCTGTTTCCCTGCAAAGGGCCGTTGCTGCCTCTCTGGTTCCTTCCCACCCTCCGGCCTCCTACTGCAGGTGAAATAGTCAGGAAATTCACGGTCTCAGGGGAGAAAGGGGAGGCGGAAGCTTCTCACGAGGGTGTTACTACAGGACCCTGTGTGGAAAGTGAGTGGGGGAGGCTGCTAGCCTGGGAGCGGTGGGGATTTCCTGTGCCTGCCCACCGCCAGCCTGGGTGACCTCTTGTGCCAGCCTCCAGAGTCCTGAGTTAGATCCCTGCAGTCCAGGTCACGTGGGGCCCAGCAGGGGCTGGAACTGGTCCCTGCTGGCTCCGAGGTTCAGGCAACCCTGCCCCCCACTCCCACCCTGTTTCCCAACTGCCGCAACAGGAACACGATTGCTGATGGCTTCTAATTTCCTCATCTGTCCACAAGCAGCTGGACTGGGTGACCCCTAGCTGCTCCTCCTCCCTCGCCTTGGTGTTCCGTTTTCTCTTCCTCCATCCATCCCTCTCAGTCCCCTCCTCTGCTCACTGCTCTTCCCTGGGGATTTTAACCACTAGTCACAGGGCAGAAGGTTCTTATCACTCCCACTGCGGCTGGGACCCCCTTCACCTCCACTGCCTGCCACACACCAGCTTTTGCGGGACCATGACCTGGGTGCCCCGGGGGCCTCTCACATTAGCACGTCCCAAAATGAGTCCATCAACCCTCCTCCCCATCCACCCATCCTGGTCACAATACGGGTAATATGTGGGTGTCACTCTTGACACTGCCCTTTCTTTCACCTCTATATCCTAACAGTCCCCAAACCCTGCTGGTCATAACTCTGGAATGACTCACAAATTAGCAGTGTATCTGTTGGACATGCAGAAGGCTACAGAGAACAGAGGAACTGATAAGTGGCTGAAACAAACAGAGGTTTATGCTTTCAAATAATGAGAAGTTCAGAGGTAGGCCACAGCTGGTTCTGCTGCTCAGTGACTTCAGGACCAGAGTCCCAGAGATTTCTGTGGTTGTTCTCATGTTTTTGCCTCATGAATGCAAAGTGGCTGCTGCAAGTCCAGATGTCACATCTGCTTTCCAGGCAGGCAGTTGTGGAAAGAGGAGGAGACCCGACTAGCTTTGTCCATCTCTCTGGATGTTGAAGCAAACCCTCTCCCAGAGGCTCCTATAGCAGATTTCCTCTTAGTCTCATTGGCCAGAACATGTTACATGGCTGCTCCTAGCTGCAAGTGGGTCTGGGAAACAGCAATGGGATTATTATGTTTGGCTCAGGCCAACTGTGATCTATCACCTTGGGGCTAGGCTTTGTCACCGTGGAAAGAACTGGAGCTTGATTAGCTAGGAAGAAGCTGGGGGCACGAAAATGGAACAGTGTCTGCCGAGGTATCCCTCATGTCTGTCCTCTCTTCTTGTCCCTGCTGTCTGGCTCAGGCCCCCCTCATCTCTCAGCTGGACCACTTCAGGGCTTCCCAGTGGTGTTCTGTCTCCCAGTCTCTGCCCTCCTTTTTCTCTCCACGCAGCTGCCCGAGTTGGCCTCCTATAGCCAGAGCCCTGCTGTGTTTCCGCTCTCTTCTGAAGCCATCCATCGCTCTCTGTTGCTTATTAAATTCCTCAGCTCTGCGCTAGAGACCTTCCTCAACCTGGCCTCATCTGCCTGTTCAGACTCTGATCCCACCAGACTCCAGCCACAAGTAGACTTGTCCTCAGAGTCTTAGCCCCTGCATTCCCTCTGCCAGGAAGGAGGGCAGGCATTCCGCTGCCCCGGTCCTACCGTGTGGACTCCTACTCATCCTTCTAGACCTGACTCAAATGTCAGCTCCTCTGTAAGGATTTTCCCAACCTGAGTATAATGAACCGTCCTCTCTGGGAAGTGTGTGACCCAGTGCCTAGAACAGGATCTGATAGGCAGCGGTGCTTGATGCTCTGTTCCTGAATGGATAACGCAGCCCCAAAGCGATTTGCTAGATTCCAGTATGGTTGTTGACATGTGGCTCCGACTCCAGACGCCTGGTCTGTGTCACAGCCTGGCATGTGAGGGGTGTTGAACGGAGAATGCCAGGTACATGGATTCCCTTGGCACAGGGCCTTGCGCCTACCAGCCCCTCAACACTTCAGGATGATGACCAGCATTTCTTCTCCTCCCACCTCCCTTAGCGATTTCGAGCAGCTTCCTGATGACATTGCCATCTCAGCCAACATCGCTGACATTGAGGAGAAGAGAGGCTTCACCAGCCACTTTGTAAGAGAGACCCCTGCACCCTCACCCTCTGACCTCTGAGCCTCCAATGCTCTCCTCTCCTAAGTTCTATCCTGGTGGTTCTCACCAGAGCAATTCTACCCTCCAGGGGATGCTTTGCAGTAAATATCCGGAGACAGTTTTAATGACCACAACCCGGGGTGGGGCATCTACTGCGTGGCATCCAGGGATTCTGGTTCATGTCATGCGGTGCGCATGACAGGGAAATACCTCGCCCCCAAAGTGATACTGAGGTCGAGAAATTCTGATCTAACCCTAGGACCTCTGGACCTCCACCCTCCTCTACCTCTGGCCTGTGAGGCTTCCCCCAAACCCCCAATCTGAAAAGCCCCAGTCCCTGGCTTGCTGGCTCAGTCTGTGGCCTATGTCTTCCTTAGGTTTTTGTCATTGAGGTGAAGACGAAAGGGGGGTCCAAGTACCTCATCTACCGCCGCTACCGCCAGTTCTACGCCTTACAGAGCAAGCTGGAGGAGCGCTTCGGGCCGGAGAGCAAGACCAACCCCTTCACCTGTATCCTCCCCACGCTCCCAGGTAAGCAGCGACTGGCTGCCCCAAGTCGGAGCCGGCCTTCCAGCTCTGTGGGTACTGTTCAATGCTTCTGTTTTAGCATAAACCGTTCTATTTTAGTGAAAACTGTTTATTTAATCCATGGCCCCCTCCTGCCAGTCACAGGCTGCCACCTCTAGCTCTCCGGCCTCGGAACCCTTGACCTCTGAGCCCTTGACCTCCTGTGCTCTATGACCTTCACAGCCGCCCTGCTTTAGTCAGCCACCACCAGGTTTGAGCGCATCAGCTCCGGCCTCTCCTCCTGGAGACAGGAATCCCTGTGTTCCCCATGGTAAACACAGACTCATCTTCCAGCCCTGTGACTCCTCAGTCCCCCGTGGGTGCGCCTCCTTCCCTGCTCTGCTGGGATACTGTGGGGGTGCACCCACTGCTGCTTTTGGACGGGCCTCTCACCCCCTGCCTCCTGGCCTTCCACCCCTACTCGGTCCTAACATGCACATTGGAAAGGTGCAAACCTCTCGGCTTCTCAAGGCCAGCCTTCGTGAGCCCAGCAGGAGAGAACCCTGCCGGAGTGGGGTGTAGGGGTCACGGGGTGGTCTTGGCTGTGCCTGCCACACCCCACAGGCTGTATCCAAGCACCCTTCCCCCAGGCAGCAAAATCCTCTCTGGTCTTCCCTTCTTCAAGCTCCAAACCCTGCCTCCAGCTGGGGTTCCTCTCTGTCTCAGCCATGGTCTGAGTTTCCCAGCCAGCAGCCAGCCCCAGGGAGGAAACTCACGCATTTCCTCACCCCACCTCTTCCCCATCTCTGGACGGCAGGGAGGAGGGTTCCCTCCTGCTCTCAGCTGACCGCTCCTTCCTGATAGCTTGTGTCTCGCAGCCCCTGTAGATTCACCTTCTCCTTCATCTACTTACTGTCTGCCAAGCTTCACCACGGGCGGGCTTGGTTCTCTTTCATCTTTAAGCAAAAACGTATCCTAAGTGAGCATTCTGGCCAGAAGCCTCCGTGAGCCCCAAGGGCCCTCAAAGATCTTGCCTTCCTTCCACGATAAATCTTGACTTGCTGTCTGACCTTCTCATCTTCCATCCTCTGCTCAACCCACCAGCTGGGTTTCAGCTCTTCCTGCTCTGTGAGTTCCTCTGGGGACAGTAGCCCATGACCTGATCCATGGGTACAACTCAGGCCTCATCTTCCTCATCCCACTTCTTCCTCTGGGATGCTCTCCCCAAACTTCTGTGGTGCCAGCCTCTCCCAATTCCCTTCCTATCTCCCATGACTCCTCCATCTCCTTACAGAGTCACCTCCTCTGGTGCTCCTGGGAAGGTGGGCACCCATCGTCCTCACTTTTGTCTTCTCACTCCCCTCCCTTCCTCCTTTCCTCCGCCCTGCACAGGCATTTGACCTGCATGCCTATGACTTTAGTTGCCCTTTACTTGCTACTAATCCCCCAGTTTCTCACTACCCCAGGCCTCAGATGCTACCCTCCTGCCACTTCCAGACACCAGTGTGCCTCATGGGCAGTGACCAGCAGAAGCCAGACCTATCTCACATTTGCCTTCTGGAGGGCTTTCTGAGTGGGTGATTCAGAGCCCCCTGAAATTCCCAAAGAGGACATTTGTCTTTGATCAGCATCATCAATTTCCTGTTCCCCACAAACACCCTGTTTTGCTTTCGAGGAAGGATTCACCCATCTACTCCTCAAATATTTACTGGTTTGGCCCTTATTATACACCATGGCTCTTAACCTGGGTGGCATATTGGAAGTACCTTGAGGTTAAAAGATTCTTGATGCCTGTGTTCCACCCCCAGAGATTCTGATTTAAATTCTTCTGGGGTGAGTCCTACACAATGAGATTTTACACACTCCTTGAGCGACATGAATGCACAGCCAGACTTGAGGACCACTGTTCTAGGTGATGAGACTGTAGCTGTGAGCAAAGCAAAGATCCTGTTCTCTTTCTAAGATTCGTGTGTGTGTGTGTGTGTGTGTGTGTGTGTGTGTGTGTGTGTGTGTGTGTAGGCAATAGATAAAGTTAAAACAAGAAAAGAATCAGCTGATGATAGTGCAACAGAGAATGCACATTGGATGGTGGCCCCAGAGCGCCGTGGGTCGATGAGCGGGAGGAGCGCTGAGCTAGTGGGAAGGGTTCCTGCCTCCAGTGGGCATCTCCGGGCCCAGAGACAATGCTCTTGGGCCAGATTCCCAGGACAGCTCTTTGTGTTTCCTCAGCCAAAGTCTACGTGGGTGTGAAACAGGAGATCGCCGAGATGCGAATACCTGCCCTCAACGCCTACATGAAGGTAAGGCGGGGCTAGGCCACGTGGCCCCTGGAGGGCACAGGGAGCTGGGCATGGGAGAGGCCCAGATGCCATCCCTGAGAGTGGCTTTGGGACCTGGGGCTGGCTCTCCTGCTCTGATGGCCCTCATCTTCCATCCTTAAAGGCCAGGCCTGGGGAGAGAAACAGGACATGTTCTCAGGGTTCTGGGGGATGGGGCAGGAGCAGTTGAGGACTCAGGAAGCCACACCTTCAACTGACTAATGGCTGTGCTGAGCCTCCTGGTACAGAGGAGAATAAGATTCAATGCCTTCCCCAAGGTCCCCACTGTCCCATGGGAATACAGACAGATGAGTCATGAAACCATGAAGAACAGGCTATATAACAGGGGCATGGCAGACCAGGGCCCCAGCTTTCTCGCAGAGTACCTGCATATGAACAGGACACAGGCTGGATTTTAGTGGCATCCATGGGCCTTGGACAGATGCCCTTATGTATTCCCCAACCTGTAAACTGTCTGCATCCTCAGGAGATGGGAGCACAGAGGAAGGAGCATCTTACAGACAGACACAGGATGGTTAGGAAAGCCTTACACCAGTTAAAGCTGTGCAAGAAACGGATAGTGTCCTGGGGTAGTGAGCACCCTGTCACTAGAGGTATACAAGACATGTTTTGGTGGCAACCTTAGGAAGCTGGAGAAGACAGCCCTCTTCAGAGCCAAGAGGCATCCTCAGAGACAGTGAGATCACCACTTCCTCTCCTACTCTTATGGGAAAAGAGCACTGAGCTAGGAGTCTCTTTGGCCTTTGCTCTGTCATTCCCTGGGTGATTTAGGGTTAATTGCTCATCCTGTCTAGGCCTCAGTTTTCTTGCCTATGAAATGAGGTGGTGCCCCCAGCTTTCTGGTTTCACGGGAGGGGACTGATGTTGAGAAAAGGACAGAAAAGTGCTTTGTAAACTGTGAGCCTGCCTCCAGAATGTGAGACAGCATGACCCCTAATGGAGTGAGGAGGCAGGAGGAGTGCGGAGGGGGAAGGGGAAGGGAGCAGGCGGCTGGCTTGCCCTCCCCAGCGGCTGCAGGGATCCCGGGCTCGGTGGAGAGCAGGTAGGGTAGGGAGGCACCTGGGCTCCAGCACTGGCAGCGGCTCCCCTCCAGGGGGCGCTGTGACAGCTGCTGCTTCTGGGTTCCTGGCTCCTCCAGTCTCCTCCAGTCTCCTCCAGTCTCCTCCAGTCTCCTCCAGTCTCCTCCAGCAGGGCTGGAAGGAGCCAGAGGGAGGAGGGGTTTGGAGCTGGAGCTCTTCACTCTTCACCTGTGTCTTGGCAACCAGCAGCCTGGAGGATTTCATCTCTACCTGTCTGTGTCTGAGTGGGTTCCTTGAAGCCAAGAGGTCAATCAGTGCTATGGTAACCCCACCCTGGGCTTGGAACATTCTGAGACGGGGAGCTCATTACCATTCTCCCTGACCCAGGCTGCTCATCCATTGTTGGACAGCTATTAGAAAAGCCCGGCTTCCTGTGACTTCTACTCACTGGTCTCACCTCTGTCCTCATTAAGAATAGGGTTCATGTGATAACAATTGCCTGGAACCAGATGGAGTACAATGAGGAGGCTCCTGATATATTCATGCATTTGTTGGATAACTGGCTTATTTAATTCTCTCAATAACCCGTGAGCTCAGTTGGATAACTGGCTTATTTAATTCTCTCAATAACCAGTGAGCTCAGTACTCTTATCCCTATTTTAAAGTGAGGAAGCGGAGGCACACAGAGGTAGAGTCACTCCCTTGGTGTCACAGAGCATTTAGTAAGTAGGAAGGGGTGAACACATATCTCTGGGACTCCAAGATTTTGCTCTTATCCACTGTACTGTGTTGGAATAAAAGTCATAGCAACAATGATAACATTCAGCTTGGATGGGGCCCCTGCTAGATGCCTATTTTAAGAGTTTAGCACGAATTCACTTATTTAGTCCTTCCACAGTCCTACAAGGGAGGTATCCTCACCTGCATTGTATTAATGAACACACAGAGGCATCCTTGCCCAAGGTCACCTGGATGAATGGCAGATTCTGTCCCAGGCACAGCCTGGCTCTGTCTGTGCTCTTGAGCTCATCTCTGGGCGGCCCTCTCCCATCCTTCCCATAGAACAACCGTGCCTTTTCTAGGCTCTGAGTTTGCAATTCCTCTGGGATGGAGTTCCCGGCCTCCCCCATCCTGCTGTCCCCATGGGGTTTTCTGGGGGGAGGGGGGTGGGCTCTGGGCGCCTCTGGAGCTGTAGCATCCAAAGCCAACCGCAGTGCTCCTGGGGACCTGTGCAGTGGACAGCTTGGAGGGATGACCCTGCCAGGCTGTGGGTGCTCACCTTCGCAGCTTGAGGGTCCTTGCATTGTGGTGGGTGTTGCAACCAGCATCAGATAATCAGTCTCAACTCTACCACTTCCTAGCTCTGCCCCCTGGCCTGGTCACTTTCCCACTCTGATCCTATAATATGACATACAGAATCAGGAAGCACCATTTAGGCGGTAATACCACCAAGTGTTGTTAATATGGTTTATCTGGCAGGTACTTCCCCCACCATTGTCTCATTCTGACCTAAGGGATGAGCTTTGGTGACAGATGGCTCTGGGTGACCGGCTCTGTAGCTCACTAGGCTGTGTGGCCCTGGGCAGTTCCTTTCACCTCTCTGACCCACTCTCCCAGGTTATTGTGAGAGGAAGTGAGGTCACACGGTGTGGCAAACAGTGCAGCGGCTGAATAGTCACCACCACATCATGTCATCTGTTGTGTCTGGAAGCCTTTGGGTCTTTTCCAGACGAGTTCTTCTCAAATTAGGTGGTCCCTCCTGACCTTGAATCTGGGGGTAGATCTTGTGATACGTTTCATTCACCCTGTTGAAATTTCAAAATATATCTTGTTTCTTTATCACACAGAGAATGCATTAATGGCCGGGGAATAGTGTGTGTGGGGGGGGTGGGGATGGAGCGACGGGGCTGGGATGCCAAGAGAGCTGACCCCCGACCTGTCCTGCCTCCTCCTCAAACGCAGAATCTCCTCAGCCTGCCCATCTGGGTGCTGATGGACGAGGACGTTCGCATTTTCTTCTACCAGTCGTCCTACGACGCCGAGCAGGTGCCTCAGGCGCTCCGGCGGCTCCGCCCGCGCACCCGGAAAGTGTAAGTGATGGACCCTGTGCTCCCAAAGGCCCTGGGCCACCTGCTGCTGACTGGGTGGGCTGTCCTGGAGGCCCCTGCCGCGAAGGCAGTTTTTCCCATGAAGGAAGGCAAGGGAAAGAAACTGGGTCTCTTGTCTGAGCCTTCCACGGTGGTTTGAGTCGTTAGGTAAGCTTGGAAAATCAAGCGTAGGGCCTGGACGGACAGAAAGTGGGTGTGTTTTGATGTGTGACACGAAGGACCAGAGGACAGGGGCTGTGATGGGAAGATCTTGTTGCCATGGCAACCACTGGCGATGGCCCAAGGGCTTAGGGTGCTTGGGGCGGGCATAGTGGGGAAGGGAGGAAGAATGGTTCTGTCTGCAAACATTCTTCCATCATCGCCTGGGACACCTTGTCTCTGGTTAGTTGCATGGAGCCGGCTGTGGCTACTGGTGTATCACACTGGCCACCAGGGGGCGCTGCTGCCCACTCCCGTATTCTAAACGGCCCACAGCTCCCTCCCGCCCCTTCTAAGCAGGAGGGAAAAAAAAACACTAAAAATTCAAGCCGATGAAATAGAGCTGCTGCTGCTAAGAATCCCAGGACAAGACTCCTGAGCCCCGCCTGCCCATCCAGCTCCTCCCTCCGTTCCAGTGCCTCCAAGTGTCCTCTCCAAGTCGTGCCTGGCCATTTCCCGCAGGCACCCAGGCAGGTGTGGCCTGAATTCCAGCTGTGCCCCACAGCAGCCCCGGGCCCTGGAGTGGAGCTCAGCACTTTCTGAAGCCCATTTCCTCAGCCAGAAGATTAGGGGATGAGCGTGGGGAGTAACGGGAAAGAGTTGGCAAGCTATAGCCCTAAGCAAATGTTTATCTGAGCCTCTGCTTTCTGGTCCACAGAGGGGGGTGCAGTCCCTCCTCCAGGGCGATGAGAGCTGGGGTTAGTGTGCTGGCACAGAGGAGCAGTTGTAGCTGCATCTTTAACTCCAGAGAAGCAGGCACAGGAGCAGGAGGGATGACAAGCCCCTTTTCTCTCTCCACAGAAAGAGCGAGCCCCCGCAAGCTGCTGGCATTGACCGCATGGCAGCTCCGCGAGCGGAGGTACCCTCCCACCTCACCACTGGGCAGCAGCCTGGCTCCACCTCCAGCCCCTAAGCTCGCCCTGCTGGTGCCTGCTATGTGCCTAGGGTGGGAGCTGGGTACAGGGCGGGGGGGAGGGGAGGGGAGGGCCCACCGCCCCAGCCTCAGACACCTGAGAACTCCCAGCCATTGGGGGAGGGCCTGTGATGAGCACACAGAGGCGGAGGGTAGTCCAGCCAGCCAGCATTCATTCAGCAAGCTCAGCCTTGCCTTGGGTACCAAAGCTTCAGAGGTGACTTAGACCAGGCCCTGTCCTCAAGGGGTTCACAGCTCCCCAGGGACACACTCTTAAAAATGGGCATTTCAAAACCTATGTGATCAATGCCCTGGGGACTATGGGGGCCCAGGAGTCCCCAGCGAGGCCTGGGGGATGGGGAAGTTACCCAGTCCGGGGAGTTTGAACCCTTCCCTCTCTTGCTTATGCCCCCAGGCTTGGAAAGAGCACCTGCTCTGGAGTCTGAGAGACCTGGGTTCTACACCTGGCTTCTCCTTAACAAATAGAGTGGGGCATCAGAAAGTCACTCATCTTCCCTGAGCCTCAGGCTCCTCATCTGTTAAATGGGACACTGGAGTATGTAAAGCACTGCAGTAGGAACTTTGTGAATATTTCTTCCCTCCTTCCTTACCATATTCTTCTCCCAGGCCCTATTTGACTTCACTGGGAATAGCAAACATGAGCTGAATTTCAAAGTTGGAGATGTGATCTTCCTTCTCAGTCGGATCAATAAAGACTGGCTGGAGGTAAGTTTGGAGGTGAGCATGGAGATTTTGTTGGAGGTGAGCTTGGAGGTGAGCATGGAGGTGAGACTGAAGGTGAGGAGGCAGTGAGGTTGCAGGTAAGTTCGAGGTGAAGTCGCTTTGATTCTGTGAGGGATCAGAGAAAGAGGAGGGATCTGAGAAGGCCCCGGGGAAAAGATGCTGTCCAAAGGTGGTCCTGGAGATTTGGGCAGGTAGATTGGGGAAGCCTGAGGAAATATTGTGTATGTGACTGGAGCAGAAGATTCTGGCACCTACACTTGCCTCTGACTCCATCAGTGGTCACATTAGAAAGTCAGTGAACCCTCTGAGTTTCATTTCTTGTTCTGTAACAGGGTCTCTCAGCCTGTTCACTCTGACAGTTGGGAGCAGGCAGTTCTGTTGGGAGATGCCCTGTGCACCATGGGGTGTTTAGCAGTAACCTTGGCGTCCATCTGCTAGATGCCAGGAGCACCCCTCCAGCTGCAACAATCAAGTGTGTCCCCAGACCTCTGGCCCCAGAAGGTAGAATCACACCCAGTGGAGACGTGCTGTTTGTAATCGGGTAAAGTTACTCACCGCGCAGGGAGTGAGTGAAAGTGAGGAGGGAGACTCACTTGAACTCCAGAGTCTGACATCACATCCTAGCTGTTTTTAACTAGCTGTGTGACTTTGGGAAACTTACTCAACCCTGTGGTTTCCTATCCCGTAAATGGAGATAACCCTGGCCGTTTCTTCATAGGTTTCTGGGAAGGGTTGAAGGAGACGCAGCTGTTCGGGGCCCGCCCCATGTAGGGCCTGGGTGTTGGCATCTTGGCCATGCTAGATCCCCGCCAGCGGCAAGCCTGGTCCTCACAGAGGCTCAGAGCACGCCTGGAGATGGAGGGGGTATCTCCGAGTGGGAAGCCCTGGCCTCCTGCAGCCTTTCGGGTTAAGTCCTCTTGTTATGAAAGATTCCCTTTTCCTGGGGCTCCTGAAGCTGTGTGTGAAGGAGCTTATGGGACAGGTCCTGAGGCAGGGCCAGGGATCCGGGGACCACTGAGGGAAGGGGGAGGGCCCCTGGCGCCCAGGGGCTGGAGAGGAGTGTGGACCCACTGTTCAGCTCACAACTTGGTTTGATTTTTACCCCAGTCCCACAGCTCTGTCTCAGGTACTCACGAGCTCTGACAGCGGAAGGATATTGCTGGGTCATTCTCCAGAAACAGGAAATGTTTGTCGACTTCTTGTTTTCTAGAAGGTTCTGGGTCAGTATGCTAGCTGACTTCTGGCTTCAGATGGATGGGAGGGTTAGGGAAGGAGCAGGAGTACTACCTCAGCCTCAGTTTATATGTCTGTAAAAGGGGCTGGAACAGTATGTCTTCCATAGGGTTATGAAGATTAAGAGAACAGGTGACAGCACCTGATGCCACACACCCAGGCCCTAGTCATGGTTAGGTCCTGGCTGGAGTTTAGGAGAGAGGCCTGGCTGGAGGGAGATTTCTGGTTGTTAGGTCTAGAGCAGGCGGTGTCCATGGATGAATGAATGAATGAATGGGCCCTGCCTCTAACCCTCTCCCTCCCCTATCCTGTTTTCCCCTGACACCTACCACCATATGACTGCCCGTAAAGTTCTCCTGTTTACCTGGGCCTTGTCTGGAGCACAGTGGAAGCTCCAGGGGGGAGGGCAGGGATTTCCATCCCTTCTGAGTGCCCAGAGCCTACCCCTTAGCTGGCACTCAAGAAGTAGTCGAATGACTGAGTGAGTGAATAAATGAATGAGGTGAAAGCAGGTCTTGACTTGGTCAAAAACGGATGTCTCGGGGTGAACAGCTTGGTGACTTGCCCACTTTTTCTCTTCCCTCTGCATAAAGGGACCCAGACCTTGTCTGCCTTTCCCCATCATTATAAGCGGGCAGGACCCCGAGACATGGCCCTGCTGCCTCTCCCAGCACCCACAGGGCAGAGTCTTCTTCCTTCCCTCAGGGCACTGTCCGGGGAACCACGGGCATCTTCCCAGTGTCCTTTGTGAAGATCCTCAAGGACTTCCCAGAGGAGGAAGACCTCACCAACTGGCTACGCTGCTACTACTACGAGGACACCATCAGCACCATCAAGTTGGTGGCCCGCTGGGAGGGAGGGATCTGTCCAGCCTCCCTGCCCCTCCCCAACCCTACCCCACCTCTGGGCTCCAAGACCCAAACCAGATCACATGTCTCCCGACCAAACACACACACTTGAAAGCTCGCAGTGGCTCCCACCATCCTCCGGATAAGCCATACCCCATCACAAGACTTCAAGGTCCAGTGTGACCTGGCCAGCCTCCTTCCCTTGCCCCCTTCCTGGCCGGCTGCCTCCTAACTCGGGCCTACCCTCTCCTTAGAGACATTGCAGTGGAGGAAGACCTCAGCAGCACCCCACTCTTCAAGGACTTGCTGGAGCTCATGAGGTGAGGGGCTAGGGTGGGAGGGTTGAGGGGCGTCAGACACCATGCTGGAGAGAATAGCGGGAGGAACACAGCACATTCAAGGTCTGGGCGTTTTGTATCTGTTTCACCTTCTTGTTTCACCCACAGCCCAGCCCTGCGGGGTGGGTATCAGCTCACCACAGAGATGAGTGGGGGGCTGCAGAGAGGTAAAGGGGCTTGTGGTTTATGGGCCTGGATTTGCTGAAGTTTTCCTAAGTCAAAACCTTGGACTTGGACCCTCCTCCATCAGGGAACCACCACCTCCCGAGACCCAGTTATGAACAGTTACTTTACAGAATGGAAATGCCATTGTTATATTCCTGACTGTAAAAGTAATATCTATTCATTAGTTTTTTAAAAAGAATGTCAGAAGTCATGGGAAAATATAAAGAAGTGAAATCACCTCATATTTTACTCCTCTCATTATCTGATGTGCATTCAGATTTCTTCAGCTCACACCCCACCCACACCCCACTCCCCATAATTTTATTATTTAGTTGGCTACAGAGCATTGTTCTGTGGCTGCACCATAACTAATGCAGCCATCTCCTTTTGTTGGCATTTAAGTTATCTTCCACTTTTTTATTATACTACTGTGAATAGTGCTGTGATCCACCTATTTGATGTCTTGTCTGATTATTTCCTTAGGATGATTTTCTAGAAGTGAGGTTTGGGGATCAAGGTGTTCACAAGTCAGAGCTTCTGACCCATTTTTGTCAGATTTACCTGTGGAAAGTTTGAATGGCTGTTCACCCGTCTACCTGCACCTAGATCAGACACTTCCAATCCTTCATGAGTTCTTTGTGGCCACATGCAGGGCTGTCTCAGGGGCTTTATCTTCCTCTACCCTGTGCTCAATAAAACCCACCTCTCTTCCCCATGACAGTTCTTAAGTCTTCAGCACATTATAAGACATTTCAAGCTGTTCCACAAATTTATTGTGAAAGTCCCATTTCCCCCCGGAGGTCTCAGTTTCCCCATCTGTACAATCGGAGATTGGACCACTCGGATGACGGAACCAGTGTCCAGCTCTGACCTCTTCCAATTCTTAGATCCCAGCCTTAAATCTCCCTCCATCCCCTCTCCCTCCTCCCACACCTAGGCCTAAAGGCTGCTGGGCCTTTCCTGAACTCTGATCTTTCCCACCCAGGCGGGAGTTCCAGAGGGAGGACATCGCCCTCAACTACCAGGATGCTGAGGGGGACCTGGTTCGGCTGCTGTCGGATGAAGATGTGAGGCTCATGGTGAAGCGGGCCCGAGGTCTCCCCTCCCAGAAGCGTCTCTTCCCCTGGAAGCTGCACGTCACCCAAGAGGACAACTACAAGGTCTACAACACGGTCCCCTGAGCTGGTGGTGTCCCTGGGGCAGTGGGGGACTCCCGGCAAAGAGCCCTCCGAGGGGATTAGGACCCAGAAAACCTGGGCGTGTGGGACAGACTTCCTGAGTCTGAGTGGGACAGACCTGCTGACCTTGGCGTGTACATTTGGTCTCTGAATTAAATAAACCATTTCATCTTAAAGGGGCAGGCTGAGGAAGAGAATGTCTTTGGAGGAAAGAGAGGAGAGGAAGTAAAAACCCATTCATGAGTATCACTGAAGGATCATTTAGATACAGAAGAGGGCCCTGGCTTTGAGCCTCTAATCCAGCCACCTGTTCCCTCGCCTTGTCCCCTTGTGTGGGGAAACCCAGTGACACTCCTGTCCCTTCTGGTCACTCCCTTTTAAGCCCTCTTCTAGGAGTAACCACTTGCCTCATGGAAGTCATCTTTCCCTGGGTACCCTCTGGGTCAGGCCAACACCAAGCCCTCTGTGTGACCAAGGTCAGGGGCTTCCTCTGCCCTCTTATTCCTGCTGCTCTGCAGAAGGGCAGAGACCTGAGTCGTCGTGTTGGTGGTCTTCATTGTAAGTAAGGGGTGAAGGGAGGGCGGACTCTGGCCCCTCTGGGGAGGAAGAAGAAGCAGAATGGCAGGATCTCCCTCTGTGAGCTGAAGCCTTTTCTCTCCTAAGCAGCCAAAATGTCAATAAGTATCAACTTCAGTAAGACCTCGGGAGGAGCTTGGCAGACCCCTCTTCTCTGTGAAACAAACATTTAACTGATTAAAAAGTACTAAAAACCAACCATTCAAAATTGAGAGGCCCTACTGCTGCAGCACAATGAGACCCTAGATAGCACACACTCTTTGAAGAATCATGAGCCTAATAAGAAGCAGTGGGCTCTCCAATGATCCTCCCATACCACTACCCACTCCTGCTGAAAAAAAAAAAAATCCCATGATAAGACCTGGGGTCAGAACCCACAGCCTCTGGGAGGCTGTTCTGGAATGCAGAGGCAGTGCTACTGTTAGAATGCTGAGGCCCAGGGAGGCTGTGCATAAAGAGCCTGGACCAGGGGCTCTTGTGCTAGATCAAGGCCTAGGGGTAAAGGATGAGGTGATTCTGAGAGAGTGATATCCCTGCCTCTAAGCAGAAGAAAGTCCCCTCTGGAGTGAAGTGCTCCCAGTTAGGCTGACTCGAGCCACTTTAATTAAAATGGAACAAAATCTCCTAGTCAAAGATCACTGAATCTCTGTGAGTGACAATAGGCAGTGAGAATATAAATGATAGCTTTAGACCCCCAGGGTCTGAAGATTATTGAACTGCATGGCTAAAGTGTTCAAAGAAATAAAGGATGAAATCATAAAAATGAATGAACTAAAGTGAATGACCAGGCAGATTTGCAAAAGAAAAATGATTTATGTATAGGTGTATGTGTGTGTACATCTGTTGAGGCAGAAAAGACAGTGGATGAGTTAAATAGTATCAAAACATTACACACAGGTGATGAGAAAATTAGTGAGTTGAAAGATAAATCCAGAAATTACCCAGATTATAACAGAGAGACAAGTAGTTGGAGAATATAAAGATGGAAATAAGAGATGTAAACAATAAAATGAGATTTTTAAAAAAAATCAGAATCTCAGTGTGAGAAAATACAGATAGTGGCAAAGAGGTGATATTTAAATAGATGGCAGATATAGTATTTCAAAACTGATGAAAAACTTAAATCTATGGATACAGGAAACATGTATGGATAAGTAGGATGAATAAAAAATGGTCATAACTGGCTACAGTAGATCAAAACTACAGAACATGGAAGCCCAAGAGAATATGTTCAAAGCAGTCAGAGAAAGTGGGGATCACTACCAAGTAACAATTAGAATGAAAAGCAGACTTTTCAATTGCACCAATGGAAGACAAAACCATTATAATTGTACCTTCAGATTTTTAGAGAAAATAACTTTCAATCTAGAGCTTTATGCTCAGTAAAGTCCTCTTTCAGTAATGAAGGTGAGAGGACTTCTCTGGTGGTCCAGTGGTTAAGAATCAGCCTGCAAATGCAGGAGACATGGCTTCAGTCCTGGTCTGGGAACTAAGATCCTACATGCAACAGGGGTAACTAAGCCTGTGAGCCACAACTACTGAAGGCCAAGTGCTCTGGAGACTGAGCATCACAACAACAGAATCCACCACTCGCCACAGCTAGAGAAAAGTCCACGCAGCAGTGAAGTGCTCATGTGCTGAAACAAAGACCCACTGCAACCAAAAATAAATAAAAATCATGAAGGTGTGTGTGTTAGTTGCTCAGTCATGTGTGACTCTTTGTGACCCCATGGACACAAGCTCCTCTGTCCATGGAATTCTCCAGGCAAGAATACTGGAGTGGAACTGCCATATGACCCGTATGACCCAGTAATCCCACTTTTGGGCGTACACACCGAGGAAACCAGATCTGAAAGAGACACGTGCACCCCAATGTTCATTGCAGCACTATTTATAATAGCCAGGACATGGAAGCAACCTAGATGCCCATCAGCAGATGAATGGATGAGGAAGCTGTGGTACATATACACCATGGAATATTACTCAGCCATTAAAAAGAATTCATTTGAATCAGTTCTAATGAGATGGATCAAACTGGAGCCCATTATACAGAGTGAAGTAAGCCAGAAAGATAAAGACCAATACAGTATACTAATGCATATATATGGAATTTAGAAAGATGGTAATGATAACCCTATGTGCAAAACAGAAAAAGAGACACAGATCTACAGAACAGACTTTTGGACTCTATGGAAAAAGGCGAGGGTGGGATGTTTCGAGAGAACAGCAACGAAACATGTATATTATCAAAGGTGAAACAGATCACCTGCCCAGGCTGGATGCATGAGACAAGTGCTCAGGCCTGGTGCACTGGAAAGACCCAGAGGGATCGGGTGGAGAGGGAGGTGGGAGGGGGGATTGGGATAGGGAATACATGTAAATCCATGGCTGATTCATGTCAATGTAAGGCAAAAACCACTGCAATGATGTAAAGTAATTAGCCTCCAACTAATAAAAATAAATAAATAAAAAAAAGAAATTATAATGGGAAAAAAAAAAAAGAATACTGGAGTGGTTTGCCATTCCCTCCTCCAGGGGATCTTTCTGACCTAGGGATCGAACCCAGGTCTTCTCCATGGCAGGCAAATTTTTTACTGTCTGAGTCAGCAGGGAGGCAATGAATGTGAAATGAAGTCAAGTATGGATACAAATGGAAAATCTGTCATCAAGTTACCTGAACTATGCTGTATATCAGAAATTAGCCCAAAATTGTAAATCAACTATACTTCAACAAAGAAAAAAGATACCTGAACTGAAAGTATCTTTAAAATACATGCTTCAATAATAAGGAAAATGGCCCTTGAGGGATAATCTGAGATGCAAGAGCAACTGATAAACAAAAAGGTGAACATAATCTTTGGACTTGTGTTGACTTAGCTAAATTGCAACTGTATTTCCTAGAATTTCCTTCACTGCATGAATCCAGGTTAGCATGAGCCAAAAGAGACATTTCGCAAGACACATTTAGAAAGCGATTGTGAAGCAGCAGCTAACCTCTTTTTAGTTTAGATAAGATGTGTTGTCCACTATTGCGCAAGCCAGACAGCATGAGTAGCCAGAGAAATATCATCTGACTGATTAGCAACCACTTTGTGCCCGTGGTGTGTACTCAGTGCAGGCATTCTGGACGAGAAAAAAAACAACAAACCAGACTGGTGAGATGTTATCATCCTTCCTGGAAACCTGTTATGCACACCCCCTTCCTGAACTTCTAATGAAAAGTAGTGTTTCAGTTTTTATTTCTCCCTAGTGGGATTTATGCATTACAGTCCATAAACAAAGGATTTTCGAGCAAGGGTAAACTCATTTTTTTCCTGACTGTGCTTGCTGCAATCACAGAGCCTAAGATTCTGACACTCTTGAAAGAGTTCAGTCTTAAGGATGTCTTTTACAGAACTTCCAACGTTTAAGATGATGTTGATAAATCAGCATTGACAAATGCTGATGCAGACTCTGGCCATGTTGATGTCAGTTCTTCCCCCTGATCCACAGGGATCCATGGGTTTAACGCAATTAGAAAATACACTCCAAATAATTTTTTTGTTGTTTAGAGTTTCACACACCTATTCTAGAATTGATAGGAGAAGAGTAAAGGCCTTGGAATAGTCAGTACTCCTGAAGAGAATAAAGTGATGAGGCATGCCCTCCAGATAGCAAGACTTATAAAGCAACAGAAAAGAAAATGGCATGGTATTTGGACAGGAATTGAGAGTCTGGCAATGGAGAACAGAGAGCTCAGGAACATCATGCATAAATGGTATTTGATATATGATAGAAGTAACTTTGCAGATCTGTGGACTTCCCAGGTGGCTCAGTGGTAAAGAATCTGCCTGCCAATGCAGGAGATACAGGTTCAATCCCTGGGTTGGGAAGATCCCCTGGAGAAGGAAATGGTAACCCACTCCAGTGTTCTTGCCTGGGAAATCTCATGGACAGAGGAGCCTGGTGGGTTACATTCCATGGNAAAGAAAAATGCAAACAATTCTATTTAAAATGAACAACAAACATGAATATGTTTTCCACCAAGGAGGAGCAAATAAATGGCCAATGAATAATGAAAAGAGGCTCAGTAATAATAAGAAGGATGTAAATTAATTCGCCCTCTTTGGAAAACCATTTTCCATTGTTTTGTAAAGTTGAATATTCATGTAGTTTATGATCCAACAGTGAACTCTTGCATGGGACTGGGATAAAGCAGCTGTCTTTGCAGTAACCCCCAACAAGGTTATCCACCTGAGCTCTTGTCCAGAGAACTGTAGACTCATTCATTGATTTGAACACAATGGTGAAATACACATGGCAACATGAACGAGCTTTAGAAATATAACTGATTGAAAAAAATTAAGTCTCAGAAGATAAGCTTCTATTTTTATGAAGCTCAAAGACTATGAAGAAAAAATAGCAAACACAAAATTTTGGATAGGAGTTGCTTCCAGGAGGAAAGGAGGGAATACATAGGGGAGAAAGAAAGTTGGGTAAAAATGATAGGTAATGTGTTGCAGGACTCAGGTGTGAGTGGTGGGTTCACAACTGTTATACTTTGTAGCTTACATACATGTTACGCATATTCTTTTCTAAGTATCACTAAGACATTAAAGGTATC